TAACCTGAAATCCTCCTTACAGCACACTGGGTCTAATTATCCTAAGCAGATTATTGGACAGCAGGTTTTTTTTTTTTTTTTTTTGGTTTTTGGTTTTTCTCCGGTACCGGGAACCGAACTCACGACCTTGCACTTGCCAGGCAGACGCTTTTGCCGCTGAGCTAAATCCCCAGCCCCCTGGACAGCAGGTTTTTACTGAGCACTCCTAGGTCCCAGCTACTCTTCCTGACTCTGAGCATACAGCTGCACATTTTGTGAAATGCCTGGTCTTGGAGATTGCACCCAGAGGGAGAAAGTCCAGGCCCTTCCTCCCTGCTTTGCTCTTCTTGGGTTTCTCCTTGGCCGGTCAGCGCCGAGGTTGTGATTCAGCTCCTCTCCTCTGGGTGGGCCCAGTCCTCACGTCCTTCCTGCCCTCAGAGCCCCGCGCTCTCCTCTGCGCCCCCAGCGGCTCCCGGGCCCCCGGCCCACTCAAGCTTTTGTTCTCTCTCATCTGCCTTTGTTCCCACATTGTCGCCCTTGCCGCCTCCTTGCCAGCCTTTCTCAGCCGGGCTGAACTGCGGCCATCCGACGGCCTTCCCGCGTTTACTCTGTCTTCAGGGCCCTCGTCCCGCCGTCCCCTTTGGATTGCAGAACCCCTGGGGGGACTCTGAGCTCACCATGTACCCCGATGCCGAGGACGCCCCACACTGCTGGAGGCTGCGGGTGTCCCTCTCAGCGGGAACTTTATTTTCAACTTCCCAGACTCTCCATTCCTAGCTCGAGTTATCGGGAACGCGCAGATGATTTTATTCTGCACTGTGAACATCAGGGCCCGGACAGAGACCCCCGGGTGGCGGAGAACGCAACGTGAAGTGGTGTCCCGAGTGTGAGCGGGGACTTGGGGGACCAGCCTCCTGGGGGCATCCCAGCTAGGGCGGGGTCTTACCGTCGCAGTGTGGCTTTGCTTGCAACTGCACCTTCAGGACCTTGCTATAGGGTTAGAGTTAGGGTTTAGGGTCCCCCTCTATTTGTACTTCCATGCCCCTGGTCACCCAATCTCATTCTCTTCCTGCTTCCCCCATCTCTTTCCCAGCAGAATCCCCTGTCCCCGCTCCTCCTAGAGGCCGGCTCTCCCACCCCGGTCCCTGTAGGGCTGGAGGGACCTGAGTGTCCTGGACCCAGGATCTGCGTCCCTGGGACGCCTGGGTCTTTTTTAGGGAGTCTCGTCCCTGCGAGAGTCCCAGGGAGGCGGCTGTCCCTGAGGATGGGTGTGGATGGGCGTGTGTGCAGCTGTGATGCCGTGTGGCTCATGGATCCAATCCCGCACGGCAGAGGTGATGTGGGAGCTGGCAGAGAGCAGGGCCTGGGGCTGCTCCTGGCCGTGGGGCCCTGGGCTCCCAGCCGGGCTGCCTTTGGTGGCTTCTGTCTGTACCATGGGACAGGGCCTCGGGCTGCCCGGGCGATGTACTGCAGGGCACATGTACCACTTGGTCTCTAAGATGGGGATGCGATGCTGTCTGGTCACCTGGTTGTCATGGAGATGAGACAAGCAGATGAGGAAAGTGCTGCACCACCGCAGGCCAGGCAGGAAAGTCTGAACATGTCAGCCCCATTCTCAGCGCTCCGCAGGTACTGAGATTGGACCCACATCCTGAGCTCCCACGTTCAGGGACGAGGAACCTGGTGTCCAAGACATCAGGCTGCATGTTGGGTGTCACAGTGTGAGTGGCCGCATGCAAACAAGGCTGGGGTTGTGGCCGCCGGTGGCCACCCATGTTAGCAGGGGCTGCTCAGTGAGGACGATTTGGGGCCAAAGGGAAATCCCTCTCTGTCCCCCAGGGCTGGTGACAGAGACACACGGGAAGCAGGGACGGTGGTGCTGACCGCATGGGCCAGGCTCCAGCGCACAGTGAGGGCATGATGTTTCCAGAACGCTGGGGGAAGGTGGAGTCCCTGCTTTGGCTGCCTGAGCTTCCTCTGAGTCTGCGCCCGTCGCTCAAAGCCAAGCGGCATGTGAGAGGCAGAGGCCATGGCCCAGGGCTTCTCGAGAACCTGACTGCACTCCACGAGGGTGCCAGGTGTCAGCAGGACTCACAGCGGCTGGGCGTTGTGATGGAAATGCGCTGCGGTCACTGGAGGTGGGACTGGGGACCCCGGCCTCCCAGCCCTGACCTGTCCTCTGCTCCCACTCCCTGCCTCACACTCGTGCAAACACGTGTCCCCTGCGCTCTCTGGAGAGCGGGAGCAGGGCCGCGCACAGCACAGGTGCTGCGGGGGACGGTTCCGAGGACGCCTTAGCCCTGTAACAAAACTCAGGGAGGTCTGTGGGCTTCGGGAGTAGGGAGCCTCGCCCTCCTGCGCTGCCCTGTGACGCTGCTCTCCGCCTCCAGCCTGCAGTGTCCCTTCTCAGGATGCATCTGGTGTGCGTTTATTGGCTCCTAGGAGAACTGAGCCAGCCACAGCCACAGCCAGCGGCAGTATTTCAGCACTGGGGATTGGACCCAGCACCTCCGCACTGGGCTACAGCCCCAGCCCTCCTCCGAGACAGGGTCTTGCTAAGTCACCGAGCTGCCCAGGCTCGGACTGAACATGTGATCCTGATCCTCCTGCCTCAGCCTCCCAGAGCGCTGGGATGGCAAGTAGTGTGCCAGTGTCTGCAGGTCCCCCGGGGTACTGCTGCCCGGGCCTGATGTGAAACTCAGCACACCACTCATTTCAGCCTCAGCCCCTCCGGACCTCCTGCCACGCCATGCGCACTGGCTCGCCTCACCTTGTTCTCTAGGTCTGGGCTCAGGCAAGGTGTGGCTGTTTTTCCAAAGGGCACAAAGGGTTCTCAGCCCTCAACGGTGCAGGTCTACAACGGAGGAAGGAGGACAGGAGTCACACCTCGCCCGGCCCAGCCCGGAGCGCAGCTTTGCAGGTGACTCCGTCCTGAGCCCCGCTGCAGTGGCCTGCGCCACTCATGCTGTGCTGGGTACACTGCAGGGATACTGCCATGTGCGGCCCTGCCCTCGGGTTCCCCCATGTCAACACTGTGCCTTCCTGTCCCCAGCCCTTCGCGGTTGCCAGGTGGTCAGGGTGCTGAGCAGACCCACTCTACAGAAGTAGCCAAGGACACACCAGACGTGACAGAACAAAGATGTTCACAGTGACAGCGCCTGTTACGGTGAGAGACACCTTGCCGTGAATCCCCTCAACCCCTGCCTCACTCCGCACACGCGGCCCGCTGCCCTTCTTCTTCCGCAGCAGCTCCGGAGTCCTCCTTCCTGAGGGTCTTCAGTGCTGCTGTCCTGGCTGCTTCCGTGTCCTGAATGGATCCAAAACACTGACCTTTCACCATCGCTGTGACTTTGAGGAAGAGCCAGAAGTTACACGGGGCCAGACCCCGCGAACACGCTGGATGAGGACCCAGTGTCGTGTTTGTAGAGCCGCCTTTCGTCGGACGGTGCTCGGCAGCTTTACTCACCGTATTTCTGATCACACATAAAGACACTCAGGAAGGAGGACTCCAGAGCTGCCTTCGCAGGTGGCGAGAGCAGCCGGTGAGGGTGTTCAGAGTGAGGGCGGGGACTGAGGGGAATCAGTGGCTGTGTTTCTTTAATGATTCTAAAAACTTAACCACTCGCCATGCGTTCTGATCACCTGTCCTATGTACCCCAACCCGTACTGGAGCCGCCTCAGGCCCGACTCTTCCGCTACATGCCTGGCAGGACCCGGCAGGCGTCTGCAGCGTCCTCTGACACCGGCGTGGACATCGCGGGAGAGGGCAGGCGGAGAGCTCACTGCACTTCCTGTTTTCTGTCACTACCGAAGAATCACTGCAAAGCGTGTACCGAAGGATCCTCTGTCCCCCGGTGGTGCATCCCTGTTCACAGCCGGACGGAGAAAGCGCCATGAGGCTGACCGGGGAGAGGGCCGCCTGAGCTCACGGCAGCCCCGGGCCAGGAGGGAAAGGAAGGACGGGTGTGCGCTGCAAACAGACGGGGCCTCCGCCGTCACCACCTGCCACATCACAGAAGCGTGCACAGAATGTCCTGGGTGACAGCGCACACCGACTCCGGGTTGTGTCTGCTCACGCTGCATGCTCGTGCACCGAAGGTGTACGTGCTTCTTCGCAGATGCCTGCGGTTTGAAAGAAGTCTCTAATTTGGTTCATTTTTTCCAAAGTGAAAACACTGAGGTAGACGTGGAATGAGGGATGCTGGGCTTTCACACAGGTGGCCCTGCGTCACGGCCGGAACAGAAGTGAAGAGCAGAGGAGTACACTTGCATCCTGGCACAGCTCCTGGAGTCTGCTTTCTGTCGCTTTTGCTTTGGCAAGGGGAGGGCTGTACAGGCGTCACAGTGCAGTCCCCAAAATAAAAGCGAAGAAAAAAGCACGAAAACAGAAAAAAAACTTCTCCATGAAGTGCACCGCATCTCTAAACCGGATAGCCCCCTCTCTTCACGGAGAGGCTGAGATCTTATCATGGGGCCGGCGCTCCCCGGAGGTGGGCCATGCGGATGCAGTGGTGCCGCAGTTCAGGGATGCCTTTGTCTGTGAACAATTCGGCTTGCAACCAGAAGGCTTTGGCCGAGCTGTGCGCTTGCTTGCTAACTCAACATCAAGTGACAAACGGAGCTACGGCCATCTTTCCCACACCTACCAGAGATGACTTTGGCATCTTTCCCAAAGTCACAGAAAAAATGAAGTTCACGAATGGAGGTACCGCCGTGCATGGGGCAGCTGGGTTGGGACAAACCTTCTGGTGAGAAAGCAATGAGAATGTGATGATGTTCTGTGACCCCTTCATCAGGACAAGGACACAGAAGGGGCCCAGGGCAGGGAGCACAGGTCCAGGCCCTTGCGGGATGGGGGGACAGGCAGCACACAGGAAGGCCAGCCTGCTCCTGGCAACACTCCTGCCTCTGCTGTTTCCTTTCAGCACCGTGGGGGCATGAACGGGAGGCACACATCAGCACACAGCGGCAGTCCAGACACACACCCCGCCACACGACAAAAGAAACCACAAAACGAAAAGTGAGAGGTCATGCAAAATTCTACTTTTACCAGCTAGAAGAAAAACCGGTGACTTTTGGTACAGAATATGGGCACTTTTCAAACATAATTTAATTACTGTTGACATAATATGAAACCTTACTTTAAATACAGTAGTTCCCCCCCTCCAAAATGCTGTTACAATATAAAACCACAACAAAAGGTGTGCAAATAGACATTTATATTGGCTATAAAAGGCAGTGAGCTGGGCATGGTGGTGCACGCTTGTAATCTCAGCAGTCTGGGAGGCTGAGGCAGGAGGATGACAAGTTTGAGCCCAGCCTAGGCAACTCAGTGAGACCCTGTCTCAGAAGTAAAAAAAAAAAAAAAAAAGTTAAAAAGAACAGTGAGGATGTAATTCATTGCAAAGGCCTTGGTCCAATACCAGGACATGAAAGGGAGAGAGAAAGAGAGGGAGAGAAAGAGAAGTTAGAGGAAGGGACACAGCATTCTAATGAGAGCTCCTGCTGACACTATTTACAGCTCCGGGTGAAGCTTTGTTGAATACCCCTGGAAAAACGATCCGTTAGCCAAGTGCCCAGGGGCCAGGGGAGGCGGAGTCCGCGCGCTCGGAGATCTGCGATCCGGGAGTGCTGCCGCTGTTCTGTGACTGAGCAGAGCCCAGCGATCCTCCGCCTCCGTTCCTCCATCTCTTCCTTCACTCAAATACTGTGCGGCAGAGACACATCATTACAGCTACAACTTTATTTCCAGGTTCAGAATGCCACACCGTCCTGGAAGCCGAGAAAGCCAGGACTGGAGAACGGCACCCTCGTGGCCTCTGCCCCCTTCAGCACAGCTCAAGCGCCGTGATGTGTATCTGCGAACAGTGAAGGGAGAACCTCGAGCGCAGGCCTTACGACCCTAACCCCGGAGCGCAGGTTGGGCTGGAGCCTGCTGACGGGAAAGGTCTTCGAGTGCTTTCTGTCTTTGGGGAGCTTCCCAGACCTCCAGCGGGCTTAGAATTAATTCCCTGAGCTCACGGAGAGTTTGCCCCCTGGGGAGACATTTTGGGTAGTGACCAAGGGTGCTCCTACGTGCCCTACCATACCCAGGAGGGACCCCCAGGAAGGGGCCACCTGCCCTCACGCCTGACACAGAGAACCCTGGTTGACACTAACGTGGAGGTGCTTTCACAGCTTCCCCTCTGCAACCTGTGTTCACTTTGGACAGTTCGGGTGAAGGCCAGAACTGTAAGCATTTAGAACCAGAGGCTCTCTTTCACCAAGGTGGTGGGAAGTAATGACCTCAATGACAGGATTACTCTTGAGGCGGGAGACATGGCAACTTTCCCCTGTTGTAGCTGGGTGCTGCCCTCCGGCCCAGCAGCCTTGTGCGACCAGGTGGGCGTCCCTCTCTGGGGCCTGGACGAGTCAAGCGGTCGCCCCACGGGGATAAGGGCCCCAGCGCCTGCACTTCCCATTTCTCTGTGGCACGCACACTGCTCCGTCTGGCCGGGAGTTTCTGACTCCTTCACCATCTAGCTTCAAATGGGGGAGTTCTGTGTATTAGCAGCTGCAGTGCTGGGTCGCTGCCTCCCTTTGATCCTACAGTGTGTGCTCACCTGATGTCACCCCTACACGTTCCCGAACTACAGCAGCAGGCAGGAGAGTGGGACGGGAGCGGGGGCAGCGCTTGGACCCGGGCCCTGCCAAGGTCCCGAGGGAGGGGCGGGGCTGGCCTGCCGCAGGACCATGGGCTCTGGTCTTGGGCAGAACCAGGTGGAGGAGAGCAGAGACACAGAAAATGGAGTGTGGACCTGGAGGGAAGCTTTGGTTTCACAGGGAGTTGACTGAAATTGAGAGGTCCAGAGAGAGCAAAGGCTGGCTGATGGTCAGAATGTAGTGACAGACTTCGGGGCTTCATGGGACAGAGAATGAGGAAGCAGAAACAGGGCTCCTGCATTTGTCTCCAGGACCACCGGGCCTGTCCCCTCACCGCAGCCTCAGGAGGTTCCATGCCACCCAGGAAACCCTGAGGTGCCTGGAGACTGGGAGACGGGGTCTACGAGGCTCGGTCCCCCTCCCTTCCCCCGTGGCCCAACAACACTTGTCCCAAACAGTTTATCTTCCTGTGCAGGGATGGCTTAGTAGGATCTCTTCCAAAGGGCAGCTTTCGGGCCCAGATGCAGGTGGCCCGGGCTGTGGTGCGGGGTGCAGGCCGCCGGCGCTCCCTCTGCAGCTTCAGACTGGCGTGTGGCTCTTCTGCTGGGCTGCCAGAGACACCGCACCTCGGGGGGGGAGACACCGCACCTCGGGGGCCGTGCCCGCTGCTCTGGGACCAGCTCACTCCTCCCCAGGCTCTGCCTTGTATTACTGAATTCTCTGGGAAAATCCAGGCTCACTTTGGAGAAGGGGAAGCTAGGGATCACGGGTGAGGGGATTTCAGCTAGGAGTCTATGGAAACTTCCAGCGAGAGGGAAGTCCTGGGTGCATCCAATGCGACGCTGCGTCTACAGACAAGGAAATCCTGCATCTCCAAGCAAGTCAACTAACCTCAACCAACCAAGTTCAAAAGGGGATGGAAGCCATGTACAGACACACGCCTGGTGGGTGGGGGCGGCAGGAGGCGGGCGAGAGGGCGCGCAGGCGGCAGGCGGGTGCTTTAGCTCATGGGGAAGCGGTGCTCGCCGCGCGTGATGTGCGAGGAGAACTCGTACCTGTCCTGGCTGTGGTAGCCGCACATGTTGCACTCGAAGGGGTCGCGGAAGCCGTGGCAGCCCATGTGGATGGTGTACATGACGTGGTCGAGGAAGAGCACGCGGCAGTGTTCGCACCTGTAGGCCTTGACCTGCTCGCCGCTCGTGCTGAGCACACGGAAGGCGTCGTGCGCGCCCTCGTAGGCGCGCTGCTCCTCCTTGAGCATCAGCCCGTTGCGGGCGTGGGGGCCCAGGTGGCTGCTCAGGTAGATGAGGCCGCCCCGCTGCTCCTCCGTGTTGCTCTCCGTGTCCGTGGAGTCTTGGCAGCTGTTGCTCGGGGACGCGTCGCGCTCCGAGGAGGCGCACTTGGCCTTGGACAGCAGCAGCAAGTTCTCCACCGCGCTGTCCTGCGCCGAGGGTGGCGGCCGCGGGGGACCCTCGGGCCCGGGCTTGTGCAGCGGGTACAGCGGGCTGATGACGGGCACCACCTCGGAGCCCCCGGGGGGTGTCTGCACCAGGGGCCGCAGGGACTCAGCCCCCAGGTAGTTGATGGCGTTGTTGATGGCCTGGTCCATCACGTGTGATGTCATCATCTCGTTCTCCTTCTCATAGCTGCCGCTGCTGTCATAGGGCAGGTCGGACAGGCACTTGTCCCCTGTGGGAAGTGAGGGACTGTGAGCAGGGTCTACATCGGGCAGGGACGCCGCACACCCGGGTTCCCTGTGCCCTGCAGCTAGGAGAGGCTGGACAGCTGCATTTGTGTCTGGGGATCGTCTCACGCCACCTCTGCAGTGGGTGCCGAGGACAGCCGCTAGGTCCATGGACGGGAGGACCACCGATCACCTGTGCCAGTGTGGGCAGCACATGGTTCAACAGCCTGCACAATACTCGTATCGTATCACACACCGCAGCCCTGGCCTGGGGTGCACACCTGTAACCCCAGCACTCAGGGAGGCTGAGGCAGGACAATAGCAAGTTTGAGCCTCACCTGGGCAACTTAGCAACTCAGTGAGTCTCAAAATAAATCAATGAATAGACAGATAGATGGACAGATAGATAGGGCTGGAGATGCAGCTCAGTGTGGGTTCAATCTCTAGCACTGTAAATAAACAGACAAAAACCAGCCAATAACCCAGACAAATAACCCAGCATTATCATACTTAATTTAAAGTTAACATTTTAAATGAGGTATCTTTAAGACAGTGATCTAAATAAACTGTAATAACTGCTCTGTGTGTCATCCCAGGCGGGATGAAGTCACTCTGCTTTGAACCACGTTTAACCCTCTGTTCAAGGCCTGGGAGAGCAGCGACGGGGGCAGGGCAGCCACCTCTAACCGCAAAGGTGCAGCGGCACGCCGGGCGGGTGCTTTCCCAGCGAGACATCCTGTTTCCCCAGAGTCACGGTTCTGTGACTTCCGAGCCCCCACCGACTGCTGTTGTTTTAAACACTTCCTATGAACAAATGGCTACAGGGAAAGCGCATGTACACTCCTGATTACCAGGGTATATTCAGTCTACCCCCGGAGCTCTTCCCTGGTGCTCAACGGCAAGACGAAAGCCAGAAATCTACCAAACGCGTGGCAGCGATCACATATCCTAGTGAAATCTACCTACCCAAGACCACAGAAAGAACCAGAACTCTAGCGTGAGACACAGGACAAAATCTGGCTACTAATTTCTGTCTCTGTCTCTGTCTGTCTCGCTCTGTGAGACAGTCTCATATGTAGCTCAGGCTGGCCCAGAACTCTAGATCCCCCTGTCTCAGCTTCCCCAGTACCATATGCTAATCTCACTTCCTAAACCCTTAGGTATGGATCCACAGCACCCTCTGCGTTTGCCTAATGTCCTCATATCCAGAGAGGACTGTTCTCTCTCTCTTCTGCTCACGGAGCAGTGTGTGCCTCTGTCTGCAGGAACCAGGTGACAGAGAAGGGAGCAGACAGCTCCCCGCTTCAGGCTCAGAGCCCAGAGCGCCCCTGTGGGAACAGGAAGCACCACCGTGCTGCTGGTTTATGGGGTTTAGCCAAATCTCACGACAAGCAGGAGCGAGAAAAGGGAGTCTAACAGAGGCTGCTCAGCTGCACCTGACCCCAGCCCTCCTCGCGCCCTCTCAGGATCTAGAACAGTCCGCTGGCTGCTCTCACGGGAGAAGAAAGCCTCCGACACAGCGTGAAGAAGCTGAGATGCCGGCCAAGCTCTGTCAGACCGCGAAGCAGAGGCAGGAGTGAGAGACATGTCATGGTTACCATGCAAATATTTTCCAGGGACATGAGGGAAGAGAGGAAGTAAAACAAACCAGGAAGTGCATCCTAGGGAAAGATGAACCTGATTTAGGGATGACAGGAAATGCCTCATAGTGGTTTCGTGATCTGGAGTCAGCTTTTTAAAAAATCAAGGATAGCAGTCAAAGCAGCAGAGTGAAAGGAAAAGAGATTTCAGCTCTCACAGGGTAAAAGGAAGCCCCAGACAATATTGTTACAGAATACATGAATGACAAACAGCACGAAACAGAGGAAAACCACCGAAAACAATTACAGACATAGAGGGAAACGTAAGATGATAATAGTGAATAAATTTAAAAAGGCAAAGAAATAAAAATAAGTGTAAAGAAATGTTAACGGGTGTGGATAATAAATTATTCAGGGCATGAGCAACTGGTAACCCCAGACAGACAGCTCCACAGATGCAACAAAACAGGAAAGACTGTTCCCCAGAAATAAAGAAGAAACAGAAGGAGAGTTACCAGAATCAAATGGCGGAGAAAATTTTATTCAGAATGCAAAACACTAAAGACACCTCCTCGTTAGGGCATGTGATTTTAACTATCAAGAAAGAAGTCTTCCTGGTGCACACCTGTAATCCCAGCACTCTGGCAGGCTGAGGCAGGAGGTTTGCAAGTTCAAGCTCAGCCTGGGGAGCTTAGCACAATCTGATCTCAAAACAAAGACTAAAAAGGGCCAGCGACGGATGCAGTGTGAAGGCCCTGAATTCCATCCCCAGTACAGAAAGCAAGCAAGCAAGCGGGGTGGGGGCGACACAAACTTCAGGCATTCAGGGAGAAAATGGAATCATCTTACAGAAAAAAATATCAGATCAAATTTAGACATCTCCACAGTAACAGTCAACACTCCATGCTGCCCTCAAGAGACACGGCAACAGCTAGTGTCTCAGGGAACACGGCAAGAGTGACCGTGGTCTCCCACTCCACTAGGACACCCCTCAGCACCAAGGTGTCAGAGAGACATCCTGAGGCCAGCTGGGGGTGGACATCTGGAGAACGTCCATGTAAAGTCCACTCAAGAGACGGATCAAAAGTAAAGAGAGTCAGTACTAAGAGGACTGGGTCTGATTCTTGAATCTATGTAAGTAAAGGATTGCTGACAGGGAGCTACATGACTGTGAGGATGGCGGTTACAGAATAAACTGTGTGTCTTTTGAAGCTGGATAACAGAAACACAATACTGTAATCGTAAATGGAAAGTGGGGCAATGGCCTTATTTTCAAAGAAACAAACCAGTAGGTATTGGTGGTGCTCACACTGAAATAGGTGGGTTGAACGATGATCCCAAACTTACATCTTTGTAATAAATATTTTTAAGATTAATCTTTTAAAGTAATATTTCTTTTGGGACATGGTATTTATTTGATGATCCGCCAGTACCCATGTATCGTTTGGGTTCCTTTTGCCTGTTAAACTTAAAACATCTTTAATATGCTGGAATCTTTAGAAAGTATTTATTTCACGTCTCTATCTCAATCCATGTATCTACCATCCTACCCACTCACACATATATGACAGACATTTAGAACGATGCACATCTGATTTAATACTGGCAGTACATGAATGCTGGGTCTTGTGGTGATTTTGAAGACATGAATCTTTGCATCAAAGGTCTTTATATGCTAGGTGTGGTGGTGCATGCCTATAACCCCAGCACTCTGGGAGGCTGAGGCAGGAGGATCAGAAGTTCTAGCCCAGCCTGGGTGACTTAACGACTTAGCAAGTCCCTGTCTCACAAAAGAAAAAGTAGAGCTGGGAAGGTAGCTCAGTGTGAAGGCCCTGGGTCCCAACTTCAGTATCATAAAACATTCTTTCTAGCAACTATGTCTTAAATAATCACCAGGATCTCTTTTTCTTATGAAAGAAGGCAATTCACCAATATGCTTATGATGGGCAGCATTAACTTTTATTTTAGTGTTTTTTGTATTTTAAGTGTTCTTGCCCCTGTCAGCAGCCAGAGTAGAAACAACAATCTGCACCACTATTTCATGCAGCTCTTTCTCCCTGGACCGTTTGTTCCTGCTGCCCTGTCTCTGCCCACTCAGAGGGTGAGAACCTTAAAGGGTGTAATGGTGAGGGGTGCTGCCCACAAAAGAAATACTTCTTCACACTCATGCTGATGTTCAACCGTTTTAATCAGAGCTCAGATATCAATAAAGCGAAAGTATAAGCCACTCAGGGCCACATGCAACACGAAAATAATACAGCCCTACATTTTTAAGGTGCTTTCTAGGGGTGAAAACACTGACACACACATTGTCACTTTTGATCACCTTAAAAAAACTAAAACTAGAAATTGCATTTGACCTAGTTATTTCCCTTGTAGGTATCTTCTAGAAAGAATTAAAGTCATACTATTATATTGATTTTTGCATACCCATGTTTATACCAGCAAAATTCATAATAATTAAATCTTGGAAGCAGCCTACACATCCACCAGCAGATGAATGGATAAAGAAAAGGTGTTATTTTAACACGATGGAATACTACTCTGCCATAAACAAGGATAAACTCGAGTCATTTGTAGGAAAAGGGATGGAGTTTGAGATCATAATGCTAAGTGAAATAAATCAGCCATGCCAGCTCAAACATCACACAGTTTCTTTTGTATGAGAAACCCTAAGGATAAATTAAATGAGAAAACTGAATGACAGGTAACAGGATGCAGCGAACTTTTGCAAACAAGAAGGGGACCAAGAGTTCGGGGGTACAGATGGGGGCGTAAAAGGAATTAAGATGCGCTGTGTTCACGTATCCACTCCCCATAATGCACGTCATCATTACATACCGCGAACAGGCACTAATAAAAATAAACATTTTAAAAATTGCTGGCTTCCCGCCCTCCTCCAGGCCTACCCAGTGGATGCACACAGCCCGCTGGAGGAACAGGGCCCTTGTGAATCCGCCTCCCGCTGTGCTGCAGCAACAGGGAACGAGCGTCAACACACCGGGGTGGGGACAGCAGAGTGGGCAGAAACTCTGCTCCGACGCGGCCCCCTTCTTTCCCACTCTGCCTCTGCTGCCATCCCGCTGTCCCGCGAGGCCACCCCGTGTTCGCCCTCTGCCCTGCAGACCTCTCCTCTTCGCCTCGCTCTACAAGCCTCTGCGTCTCCCCCTTTAACACACAAGCATCCATCCTGGTCTCAGGGCCGCCTGCGGAAGGGTGGCGCAGATTCCTCACTTGGCTTGGAGTCTCCCAAAGCCACAGGGGGCTGCGCTGCGCCTGGCACTCCCCAGGGTGTTGCTCCAAGGGGGCTCCGGCCCCTGCCTCCCGCGGTCAGCGCCCACTCACACCCGGGCACGCGCGCCTTTGCGCTCGCCTGTCTCCCGGTCACCGCAAACCGGCTCCACCGCACCCATGACCGGGGACCTGCCACCAGACGCCGCCGTCCGGCAGGGCGCCCAGGGTCCTATACTCAGTGCTGCAGGCGCCCCTCTCAGCCCAACAGCCTCCGCTCAGCCTGGCCTCCTCCCGCACTGCGCAGCGAGGGAAACGCCCCTCGTTCTCACGGCGGCACAGCTCCGCTGCACGGGGCCCCCACGCGTTGCGATGGTGTGTTTAACGCTTCCTTTTCCTGCTCCTCCCAAGCTCAATCTACGACAAACTTCTTTAATCGGAAGATCAGAACGGAGCCACGCGTGGCACTGCCAGAGGGAGGCTGGTGGCTGAAACGCACCCCTCCCGCCTCTCCCTCTCCCCCAAGGGCCCCTGGGGTCCCAGTCTCCCTAACCCCACTTCTAGCTTCAGCCTCTCACCCAGCACAGATTCCCTGGGGCCGCCACCCTAGATGGTCCTTCAAAATTAGCATCCCACAGCCCAGCGCGCCATCTTGTTCCAGAACAAGACTTCACCCTTTCTCAACAGCATACAGTCAACTCTTTCCCCTAGGGTTTCCTTCCCCTAGGCCCTGCCTCCCTCCCTGCTTTTACCCAGGCTCCTTTCTCTGCCCAGGCGCTGGCCTCCTCCCCCTTTTCCCATCAACCTGCGGCCCTTGCTATTTCTTCTTCCCATCAGAAAAGCGACCATGCTTTTCCGGCACTTTCTGCACGGGGACACCTCTCACCATGGCGCTGGAAGACCTTTCCTCCCGGGGCCTCCTTCGACAACTTCCCTTTGTCCAAGCACCCAGTGGGTCCTGGAGCTCGGCCAGGAGCATACCTGTGCCTACACGTCCCATGCCCCCATTTTTGTCCCCTCCACCGGCGTCGCCATCTCTCTCTATTTCTGCCTGTTTAGAACCCTCTCTGACTTCGCCAACACTGACGACATGCTGAAATCTTACTGCTCTCTCAGTCTCTCCGCTTTGGAAAGCTTTTTTTGTTCCTCTTTCTTGGACTCGATCCTCTCCCGCCACTTTGTGATAACAGGTGACCTTCCCACTGAGGATGTTTAAATGACTTCACTCCCCTGGGGTCATTTTAGGTTCACAGTGACCCCATGTGACACCAACCCACACTATGTCTTCCCTTTCCTGGGCACTTCCCGGGGGACAGTCGCTATGTGACCCCCATTAATGCCCACAGTCCCCTACCAGGGAATGCGAAGCTCAGAGTGGTGCACAGCTGGGGTGTTTTTCTGTGCACGCTGGGGCCCCTGGTTCCCGGTTCTGGCCACAGAGACCCAGCCATTGTTGGGAGGACAATAACCACAGATCAAAGGGTTCCAGATGCTGCAAAACCACGTGCAACAAAAACTGCTGGGTTTGTCAGTCTTATGAAACCTACTGAAAAATATTCTAAGATATCTAAGAAATGTTAAGTTTATCACATTTTGGTTTTTAAAAAAAATCAGATGGGGTTCCTCTCCTCTACCCTCACCTAAGTCTAAAATACTCCAGAAGAAGTTGTTTTTTAAGAGACAGCAAACGTTTAACTCTTACCAAGAAATTTCTGAGGCATAGAGCTCTTACGTTTGGCGACGTTACTTGCTATTCTGTCCAGCACGAGGGATCTCTCTGATCCTATCTTGCACAGGTCTTCTGCCATCTCACTGTGATTAGTTTCTTCTTTAATGACTAAAGCCAAAGACAGAGAGCCAGTTTAGAAATGCTGATGCTGAAAGAACTCCAGCCTAGGCAGTGTGTTAGTGACATTGGTTACACGCCTACAAGAGCTGGGTCTTTCCCTGAGGTCATTTCAAATCCTCCCAGCGGCCCAGCAAGGTAGACAGAGATGTTCTGCAGTAATGCCAGTGACCCGCCCTAACAATGGCGCCTCCAACACCAATTTACCATACACAATCACTTAGGACCAAACAAGTGTCGCCCCTGTCATCTGAAGCTGGACCCCCTTTAAGTAACCGTGTCCCTTTAAACTTTTCAAAGTGTGGCAAAGGCCACTGACTGTCAGTTTTAGCAGCAGCCCTCTGAGAGCTGTCGCACCAAGAAATGACCTATGAGTCTGACATCCTCAATGCGCACAGCAGACAGAGGAGCAGGTGTGTAGCCTTGTGGGGCCAGAAGCCAGAGATCCTTATCCCTGAGCACTAAGTCTGGTGATCACTTGAACAGTGCAGGACATATGCACATTGTGGAGATAAATGCAGATAGATGGCGAAATGCTCTCTATTTTCTGTATCATCTCTTTCCCTAGTGGAAGTTAGAACTTTGTATCCGGTAAGTCCCATCTATATTGACTATTAGTTTTCATGGCTACCATTTAAGTATAATTCATTCCCCTGAGATTTCTCCTCATGTCATAGCAGCTGAACAAGTAAATGTTATTTTCTGCATATCGAATCAGTTCTTCCAACACTGCTTCTGTCTTATGTTTTCTGCTCCCAGATATTTTGTGCTGATTGATCACAGAGCCTTTAGTAGGCTTGTCCATTTCTATTATTGATTTGTGTGGTCTTCAAGAGCTCCACACATTGCAACTACTACAATTTCATGTAACACTGGACATTAGCCCTCTTTTCTAAAAAGCTGCTAGCCCTCTTGCCAGATACACTTTATGCGAGGTGGCTACCAAATTCCAATGAGATTCACAAAACCATCTTCTGTGTGTCCTTTCTTGTGACTAGATGTTTTTGAATCTTTCTTTACTATACCCTCTCTGATGTCTCAAAGGAGGACTCTCAAAAGAGGACTCCTAAGTATTTTATGACTTCATTGCCACTATGAACCCAGAAACCTAAAAAAACCCCTATGTTTAGCATTAGATACTATGGCTCGCATATTTTATTTTTTTAGTGGTGGAAAATATATGTTCCTTATTATATAGGCCAACACCTATACACCACATCCTGATTAACAGGAAGGATGAACATAAATCCATTTCCACTGGCCATACACAGGACCTATCAAGCTAGCACACTCACTTACATATTCTTTTTCTGGACAGCAGGGGCCAGTGGCCTGACCAGGGCACCCACACATTCCAGTCTCCTGCCTGGGGACTGGCCACAAATTGATGACTGCTGAATTGCTATTATTATTTTCACACCCAGCTTCTCCTTCTCCCACTCACTCTCAATACCCTTCCAGTCCAGAACTGAGGCTCTGAAGGTAGGCCAAAGAGAATCTCATGGACTCTCCTCGCTTCACAGGTAAGAGGATGAAGGTCCAGGAAGCTGTTGGCCAAGGTCCACAGTGACTGTGAGGGCAGCCCTTGCTGTAGGACGTGTCCCCTCTTAGTGCCAAGGCTGATATGAAAAGATTTTTAAGACTTTTTTCTGGCCTTTTTTTCTCTTGGTCTCATTTGCCATTAATAATTTGAGTGTATTCATGGGAATTTTCATGTCTGAACTACTTGTTAAAGTCAGAATGTTGAGTGAGGCTGACTAAATTACCAGTCGTTCCTTCCATTTCTACCCCACCATCCAAAATGATGACTTCCCAGTGGCTGTGTGGAAGGAATCTTGTTTGGAAAGGGGCTAGCTTCATTTTATCTATATCTTAGTTATTTTCTCATCTCTGTGACATAACACCTGAGGTCCACAACTTAAAGGAGGTGAGGTTTATTTAGCTCACAGTTTGTAGAGGTTTCAGTCCATAGTCAGCTGGCTCCAAAGCAGGTCAGCATGGCAGAGGGGCATGACAGAGGAGGAATACTCCATGGCATGGCAACAAGAAGCAGAGAGTGATCAAGGGAGGAGGAGGGAGACAGACCCTTCCAGGGCACACCCTTGATGGCCTGCTTCTTCTATCTGGGCTTCACCTCCCAATATCATATTGAGCTATATGCTCATCAGCGGACTAGTCCACCAGTGAGTAGCATATCCCCATGATCTGTTCACTTCTCAAAAGCCCTACCTATGAATGTGTGAGGCTTAGGGGGACATCTAGATATAAAGTGTAACAATGTATTTGTGAACCTCATATCTCTTAGGAAGTTAGAAAGGTACCTTTCATAACACTGCTGTCCTGTATGAAAATCCAGCCTTCTTCAGCACGGTCCTGACCCTTTCACTTCTGTTATCTAAGACAGACTTACGTGCTATCTCATCACACAACAGAGTGCAGCGCGACACACACGCTACCTTTCTTTCCTTTTCTGATGTCCTCAACCCTCCTGACTATCTGGGTCCTCCAACAAGCTTCACCCTCAAACCCAAGGCACATGTGAACACTCTGCTTTGAAACCACAGCCTGAAAACTCTGATTTCATCAATTTTATGAAAGTTTTCTTTTTTCTTTTGGTGGTACTGGGGATTGAACCCAGGGCTTTCACACTAAGCTACACCCCTAGCCCCCCTATTGTCTTTTGAACTTTTGACACAAGATGTTACTAAGTTGCCCAGGCTTGGTTCAAATCTGTCTCAGCCTCCCAGAGTCCTAGAATTATAGGCATGCACCCCAACACTTACCTTATGAAAAAATAATTTTAAAACAAGACCGCATAATTTATTTTGATTACTAAGCACAGAAAATTGTTTCTTGTTTGAATGGTACTGGTGATTGAACCCAAGGCCTAATGCATGCTAGGCAAGTACCCTACCACTGAGGTACAGCCCTAGGACATTCCTTTAGGTTTAAAGTAACAAACTTGAAAAATAAACTAGCAACTTTTAAGGGTAGTTATCATCTTAGAGAAGATTTTTAAGATAAGCCATGTGAGGTCAGATGAGAACTGAGAAAATAGAGAAGGAAAATGTTTTCTTCCTAGTGAAATAGCCAGGTTGTTGGCCAAAAAGCTCCCTCCCTCCCAGCCATGGTGGGAAGAAGGCCATATCTGGGCTCCTGAGATGCTGGGAGGGAGAGGGGTCCAGGCGCAGCCTGGAGCCCCGTGCTTACCTGGGTACAGCGTGCCTGGAAGGCCCATGCTTTCCAAGTAGTTGTGGCAACGCTCTTTATGTTCCTCTAAAGAGCTTCGCTGTTTATAGCTTCGGCCACAATATCCACATTTGTGAGGTTTACCAACTGCAGGAAACACAATTGAGTTCAAGACTCCAATTAAAGGTCAGCCTTCTGTGTAATGGGAATGCATGCAATACAATTATTACCTAAAAAAGTTGTTTTAAAATGCTACTTTTGAAAGCTAAAAGCATTATAGACTTGGCCTAAGTTACTGAATTTAAAAATGTTAGCACACAGGGCACTCCTTGATGGTACCAAGAACTCATGTGACTCCTATTTCACCTGCTTGACTGACTAGCAAATTCTTCCTTTTTGACATCACTGAACTCTGTCCTTTAACTGGAACAAATGAACCACTAAAGTGTTATAATGTGGACACCAAACAACCAACAGAAAAGTGAAGAAGGCTGGATAATTTACACATTTGCCTCCCTTGTCTGAGCCTACACTGTGGCCAGGTCTGGCTCAGTACTGGGGCTATGTCTATTGCAACCAGGGTGATGTGATTCAAAAGGCTAAATGGGATAATATGAAGTCTCTAGTAAGCCACAATGGACAAAGATGGTTTGAGAAATATGCACTGTGCTTCTAAATTGCATTTTCTTATATAGTACTAATGTGTTTTACATTTGTATGGCATAATAAAGTTTAACATAAGAATATACAATATAAAATACAAAATGGAAAGTTACACGGAAAAGCCAAAATATGTTTTCATAAAGAAAACCTGAAGTGTATTTTTCATAAACAGAGCACTGTTTTCTCCCTAAATTATGTTAGAATGATGTACCCTTTACAACAGCCTTGACCACCAGAATTCACCAGTGATGACTGAAGTGTTCTATATATCTATCCAACATGGCAGCTACTATGCGGTCCAATATTGCATCCAGTTGCTGTCCAGCATGGTGGCCATCATGTCCAACATAGCAGCCAGTATGTGGTCCAACACAGTGGCTACTGTGCTCACACAGAACTAAAGTTTAATTTTGTTTACTTTTTAATCTGCTAAAATTAAATCATCACATATGAGTAATAGCTAGTGTATCGGGCTGTATTCTTCTCCATGTACATAACAAATTTTCAGTCCTTCCTGGATTTTACTAATTGGTATTTTAGGAAAAAAAAAAAAAAAAACTAGCAGGAAATCCAAATCAAGCTAAAGACGGCAATAAATACCACTTAAAGAGAAGAAATGAATAAAAGTTTTTCCATCACTTATATAAGGGATACAGTAAATCCCCAACTTATAAGCAAGTTCTGTTTCAGCAGAATTGTTCCTAAATTGGATTTGTTTGTAAGCCCACGAAGTGAGTCTTATACAGTATATCTGTGAAAGTTCGCAACTCAAATGTTCATAAATTGAGAACTTACTGCATGAATTTCCACCCTTAGTCCAGGATTTTTTTCTCCAGCTCTTTGACTTATAATATTTTAAAGTACTTTATAAAAATCAATGCTATCCAAATAATATTTGGTAACTGATTTAATCACAGCTTATATTAGTTCAATCCCCTTCCTAGAAGAACAGAAGCTATGATTTAAAAGACTAAAACATGAAAGTCAAAACTTGACTTCTGGAATATCTAATAGGACAAAAGAATCTGTATCTATAGAAAGTGGTGTATTCCAAATACCAGGAAATAATGCTGAAATACAGGATGCCTAAACTTGTAGGTTGAATTGATTGCTGTTTTAGAAATGAAAAGTATAGATAACCCCTCCATGCCCTGTCTTGGAAAATCTAGTATTTTGGTGAATTCCATAATCAAAATTGCCTCCTGTATGTATGCTATGGTATGTGAATAGCCATTTTTCTCGGCATAGGATTGTAACTCTGCAGCGTAAATGTATTCACTGTAAGCAACTGAGTTAAGGACTTGCAGTGGAAAAGTCTCTAATGGAGACTACAACTTCCACAGAAGCAGTGAAGGAGAAAGGCAACCCTTTCCCTGCCTTCCGATCCCTCAAGCTTCTTGTTTTATTTGTGGCACTGGGGATTGAATTTAGGGCCTTAACACCAAGCTACATTCCCAGTTGTTTTTTTTTTTGAGACACGGTCTTGCCAAGTCACTATGTTGCCCAGGCTTGAACTTGTGATTCTCCTGCCTCAGCCTCTCAGAATGCTGAGATTACAGGCATGCATTACTGCTTCCAGCTCCCAAGCTCCTCTTGAAACCATCATGTGACAAATTCTACAGGTGTGCCTGTAGAATGTGCTGCATCTGGAACCTCAGGCTCCTACCAGTTTCCAGAGAAAGCTATGTGGTTGTCCTTAGTTTTAATGAAGTGGAAGAACGGCTATTCCAAAACGAAATGGAATATGCCTGTATTAGAGTTTGCCAGACAAAGGCCAAAACCTTCAATTTATCCTAGTGAAATTACTCTGAAGAACCTAAATCTCTGTATGTTTATTTTCCTCCCTGAAGACATATCTGACAGCACTTTCCCACAGCAGAATCACCAGCAGCCCTGAGTCCAGGATGGCTTCCTCCCACTTACTCCTTGCTGGATCCATAACAAATAACCTGTCCTAGTCCACCACCTCCTGTATGAGGTGTGATCGAGAAATACGGTGTTTAAATTTAAATATTTTATCATAGTAAAAGACACATTGCAATAAATTCCCCTCAAAATCCTCTCCTTTGCCTCAGACACACAAGCCCACCATCCTTGCCACTTTCTGAAGCAGCTCAGTTTTCTTTCCTAACTGTCTTTAGTTTCACTGTTGTGGCTGTCTCAATGTCCTAAATCAATTCAAAATGTTTCCTTTTGACTCGGGGGAAGAGCTAGAGTCACACAGTGTCAGATCCAGTGAATAAGGTGGGTGAGCTCAAGCTTTTAGGTTCTTGCCTTTCCCCTGGATGACACTCCGAGGCAGTATTCACTGTATTTTTGACCACACCTTGTGAAGACACTCAGGAAAGAGGACTCCAGAGCTGCTTCGGAGAGTAGCAAGAGTGATGGGATATGTGTGTTGGAAGTAAAAGGTGCACTCTGAGAGGGATTAATAATGGATGTTTATTGTAATAATTTTTAAAAAACTTAAACATTCACGGTATATGCGGATCACACCCTGTAAACACTCAGTAAGCAGCCACTTTGGGAGCAGGATCCATCACACCTCAAATGACATAAATCGGCATGGTGCCAGTGTAACAAACATACTGCACTACAGGCTCCTTATATTGCCAGGAGGAAGAGAGCAGTGTCACCCTAAGGAGTGAGGAGTGCTATGTGGGAGAGCAGAACTGGACCTAGAGTGGCCCTGGGCTAATGATGTTGGGCTGAGGTCAGCTGAAGAACAAGTCTTCGTATTCTCCATTGATGGCCAGCTGTTACTCCTACTGACCCAAGTAATACTGCTGCCAACCTCGTTTGGGTCTAGGTGACCCCGAATCAAGGACAGAGGTGGAATCATGCTCTCCTAGTCACCCATCAGCACCAAGTGCAAAGTGCGATACAGCTGAACCCTACCCGGGCACCTGTGGAGTCGCCCCTTCCCTTCTGGGTGGTCACTTCATGGCCAACATGGAGCCCTGTGGACACTAGAAAGTGCTTGCTGTTACAGGGCTGTCCCCCCATCCTGGGGGCTCTGTTCTTCCTGTCCCCTCCTGCAGCACTCCCCAGCCCAAGGACGTGTCTCCAGTCCTGCCCAGGAAGGAAGGGTGGGTGGCAGCTCCCTCCATGGCTGGAGGTGGGGAGGGAGAGATGGCTGTGGCCCCCAATTCCTCCATCTATGCCCAGGCGTCGGGGTGAGGACCTTCCCACGGAACCACTCCCAGGAGGAGGACCAAACTCTACCAACACGTACTAAAATGTCCACCATACCCCTTCCAGAGCTACTGCAGAACCCCAGCTCCTTCAGGACTCCTGAAGTAAACTCAGAAACGGGCCCTGGGCACACAGTCAAGCTCCCTCCCCCTGGAAGTCTCTCCCGGCTCTCCCGAGCCTACCATTCCCTCGAATGTCCTGCTGTGCCACGCACAAGATGCCGTGCTTTCCTGGGGTGCGCCTGTCCGCCCTTGGGGAAAGGGCTCCACGAGGCTCTCAATAACTATGGGACAAGGACACAGACATGGGTCTGTAAAACCTGCACCATGAAATACACCGTTCATGTCTGGGAAGAGACACCTGTCCATCTTTCCTAAAGAACTCGTCCTGCCTCTGCGTCCTGGGGAGGCTCCTGTGGGACAGCAGGAAGGGGCTGGTCTGAAGCATCGCCCTCTCCACAGCACCTGCCCGGGGTGGCTGCTGCATGGAGTATCTGGCCTTGTGCAGTGCACGGCACCAGCACTCTGACCTTCCAGTGTGGAAGAGAGAAACCTGCGCGTGGCAGGCGGCGCTGACCACAGTGCCGACGAACACAACAAACCCAGCTGGCCGAGAGCCCCCGTTCTCGCTGACGTGTGGGGCTGTGGGGCTTCGGCGTAACCGACCGCCCGGATTTCCCACCTGAGTGAGGCGGGATTGTGTGGCCTGCCCCGCGCGCCCGGCTCCGGTCTGCGTGCCCTGTGCTCGGGGACAGCGCCGCTGGCCACCTCTGCTTCCTCCGCTCCGGCCGCGGCCTGTGCGGCTGAGGCCTGTGAGCACCAGCCTCGGCCAGGCCTGACCGCTGCTGAGAGCCCCGCGCTGGGAGCCACCTGCGGCGGCCCTGCCAGGAAACTCCCTGCTGTCGTCCTCCGGGACGCTTGACCGGAACCGGAAGCAGCGCGCTGGGAAAGTTCCGAGGTGAGGGGAGAAGCAGGCGGAGCAAGAGCAAGGAGAGACGAGGCGGGCCCCGCTGAACACCCAGGGTGCTCTGCGCCCTTGCATGTGCGTGCGTGTATGTGCGTGCGTGTACGTGAGTGCGTGTGTGTGCGTGCGTGTGCGTGCGTGTACGTGCGTGCGTGTACGTGCTCTGCATGCGTTGCATTTCCCGCCAGCACCTGTGGTGTGGGAGCTTCGTGTAGGCCGGGGCAGCCCAAGGCCCAGGTCGCGTTGTCGGCACCCTGGAGACCTAGGCACCGGGCTGGGCACACAGCGCCTGGTCCTGCCGCAGGGCACAGCTCAGACTCCCGCCTGGCCTCGCTGGCCACGCAGCCAACCTACCCGAGTGCGTCCGCAGGTGGCCGGTGAGGGCGTCCCTCCGGCGGCAGGCGTAGTTGCAGAGGTGGCACTTGAAGGGCTTCTCCCCGGAGTGCAGCTTGATGTGTCGCAGCAGGTTCCCTTTCTGGGTGAAGGAGGCCCCGCACTGATTGCACTGGAAGGGTCGCTCTCCTGGGACGAGGAGAGGAAAACGGTGAGTACAAAACTCAAAACCCCGCTCGGGCACAAGAGACCACTGCGGCGGCGAGAAAGTTGTTTCCCACGAGGGGCTCGGTGACTTCCACCGGCTGCAGGTTTGATAGAACATGAGGCTTTCAGACGAAACCTGCCAGCTCCTTAACGCTTCACTGGCTGGGTCAATTTGATCTGAAAATCTAATTTTTTTTCCCTAAATCAGAATGGCACATCACAATGCAAATTCAAACTCATTTAAATAAAGTGACTGCAACATTTTGTGATGAAGAGCCACTCTTCCTGATCAGCAGTTTTGGAATAAACCAATATCCAATTTTGCGTGTTGTGGCATTTGGTGGGGTTTTTAATGTGGCTTTTTTCAAAGGGTCTTTAAAATATGCCACTGAAGCAGCAAAATAAAAAGGAAACTCATTAAAAATGCATTTCAGGATCACAAGTTCATTTCAGCGTTACATTCTTATATTTAAATGAAAGGCACTTCATTATAACAGTTATAATAACTTCTTTTCATTTACATTTTCCCTGTATTTTCCCTTTCAATTTCTTCTCCATTACCTGTCTGTCCCTAAGCAGGCAAATCACGAAAGAGACAGACAGAGAAAGTGTAGGGTGAGAGAGGAGAGAGAGATGGAGAAAGATTGAATAAAACAAGAAGTTAAGACACAGTGAAGCCAGGGTCCCACCTTGCACAGAAAACTCCCCAAGCTCCCTGAGGCAGGGCATTAAAGTCAGAGTTGCCTTGAGATTTTTGCCCTTTTTTTCCTGCAAAACTTTTTAACGTTTAATTTCTTGTCTATATCCACAGAAGACAAGTGCTATTTCAAGTACACATCTCCTCAGAAACTCGATTTCTTGTTTTTGAGGAATTCTTCCTGGGGTGGTACATGTTACATAGAATTGGTTACCAAGCAAAGCCTGGGACATCTGTTGTGTGTGGTGGGTTTTGTGCTTGTATTCTGGTTCTGACAGAGGGACACATAAGGATTTGTGAAGAAGAAATATGCTGTTGTCCTGCAGGGCAGTCACAGGTCTTGGAATCTAATGGGGTGAACATTTCATTGAACCTTCACTCAGAGGAGTAACAGATTTATCACCTTTAAGTAAATATGAAAACTCTTAGAACAAACAAATGCTTTGCTTAGAGGAAGAGCTCAGTGTGACCAAAACTGCCACTGTGAATACACCATGAGAATATGTCGAGGGATGATGTTTTCTTAGAAATAAAGAATGAGTTAAAATGCTTATTTAATCATTTTCACCACTGATTAACGTGTCTATGGGAAGAGATGGCTTATTAAAAACAAGTAGAATTGTATTAGGTACTATTAAAATCCATATGAGATTATATTTTGAAGGCTATCTTGATACTTGAATTTCCTGGTTATTGTTACTCCTTTAAAGGGGTCAGAGTAGATGTGCTTCTATAAAAGTTAAACAGATTAGAAAACATGCAATTATAAGTAAACTGGAAGGGACTGGTCCTAAGCAGGATGTATTGAGTATTTCTGTAAAATCCTGTCCTGAGCAAAGTGAAGGCGTTTCAGGGCCAGCAGCCTAGTCAGTGATGGCAGAACTGAGTCACCATCCAGCTCTCTGAGTTACAAGCCTGAAACTGGGTGGACAAGTTAAAGCAGCTGGGAGCCCAGTATCCCTGAGGCACTTCTGGCAGAAGGATGAGTTCATTACTACAAACACTTCTGGGCCTTTGCCACACAGGTTCATAAGTGTGTGTGTTTAATTCCAAGTGGGCCAAAGAAAAAGAAAATCGAAGGACACTGTGCAGAGAGATGCAGGCAGGGGACATGGGAACACACCTCCCTCCACAGCTCTGGTGTGGACAGGACACCATCAAGAAAATCCATGTTCTGCCAATGCCCATAACAAAGGACAGCAGGACACTGCTGGGGACACAAGTGTGCTTGTAGTGTGACCCAGAGCTGGTGACAAGCTGAATCTATGTGTCACCCCAAGGACTGATGGGCAGGAGGGAAACTGCAAGTAGATTTAGGGTCTCTGGGGTTGTCATCCTCTGTTCCTGGACAGTGACATCTGTCATCTAATTTAGGGATGCTCCTCATGGACCCTGCTGTGCCTGGCATCTTAATCCCTTTGAAAAGCTTTGCTGGGGATCTATTTGCTTTTGATCGCCTTGACTCTGTAACCACGCTGCAGGAGTCCTGAAGGCAGTATGCCTGGAAGTGACAGCACAGTGTGCTACCCAAGGGCAGGGGAGGGTGTGCCATCCATTACCCACCTCTTGCGTGTCCTGCAGCTGAGCCGGATCACATTGCTCCAAGCTCAGATTTACTTCTGTTTCACTGCAATGAGGACTTTGACATCCCCAAATTCCAAACTGAGGTTTCATTTCAGCGGCTGTGCATTCTGCATTGCAGGGACCGTGGTAAGGTCTGAGCCCTTTTGAGTAACTTAATCAGGCAAGAGCAAGTCCTTGCTGGAAGTCTACCTGGAGACTTTGGGAGGCTGATCTGAAGGGACTGGACGTGGGACCACCACACCTCAAAGCAAAGCAGCCTGACTTGGCAATAGGGACATGGTGATGATGTCTTCTGTCCTTGTGAATAGAGACCTCACAGCAGCATCTCCTCTGTCCTCTTTCTTAATCAGAACGGTGATACCACACATGTGCACACTGGTTTCCCCTCTGCGTTTCCTGCTCTGTCCTCCCACTGAGGTGCTGGTGCAGGCATTACTGTCACACCTGAGTCCCTAACAGGGACCAAGTGGTCAACAGGAAGTGAAGCCAGCACCGATGATAAACGATTTAGCAGTGGTGTGTCTTGTCAGTCCAGAGAGATGGCCCTGAAGTCCCTGAAGGTTGTCGGGGAAGGGATGGGGATCCCAGCAGACCACTGGCTGGGTAGTGGCTGCAGCAGAGTCCTGGCTCACCCTTGGGGAGTCACATGGACCTGGACTCCTGCTTGGCCTGCTCTGGAGTCCTGCTTGGCACACAGGGGCTGATTAGAAATCCTGCTCCCCAGCTTCTCCCTAGGCCCTGAATCCCCACCTGCTTTCAACCTGGAGGAAGGCTGCTGTCTGACTTCTGTGGAAGTAGTGAAAACAGAAAGCCTTTTTGACATCTTCCAGCCAGATCCTAGGAACACCATAAGCTTCTCAGCATCTCAGCATAATAACTTACACCTAGTGTGGCCAAAGTGGGTCTTTTTACCTCTTCGTGCAAGCACTGGTATTCACACAAGTGCAAATCCCTGAGTTTGTCAAACCAGTGGCCTCCTCTTGTGTCTGTACATAAAGGGCTGGGGGGGGGACTGTAAAGCTGGGGGCACATTGCTCTTTCTAGAAGTTATTTGATGATCTCAGGGTACTGGGGTACGACACTTAGCTGCTATCTGTGGGCAGAAGGGAGGGTGAACAGCAGGTGCCACTCTGTGTATCTGTATTCGGCAGGTTTATGTATTAAAAGTAATTAATCTTTTTATCCAGGCAGCAGTCATTCTATCTGGGTAATTTAATATGCCAGTTCATTTATCAAGTATTTATTTAAGAGAATTTTCACTGTCCAGTTGGCCTTTGCATGAATTAGTAGGAAGGGAATCCATCTGAGATTGATTCCTTAGCAGGGAAGTGATTATTACCTCAGGTCCTACAGCGTGTGCTCAGCGTCACTGGGGTGGCTTTCAGGACCTTCATGTTAGGGTCCACTCATTGGAAGGGACAGCAGGGTGCCTGTCACACATGTTTTTCTTAGGGCTGGATATGACAAGTCTATTTCACTGGGTAATCTGAAGAATAAGGAGCCCACTTAGAAAAGCAAAGTTGGCTTCATTTTTGAAGCTAACCTATTTTTTGTTTGTGTGAGTAGTGGGGGTTGAACCTAAGGCCTTTGCACTGAGCTATATCTGCACTCTTATTTTATTTTTTATTTTGACACAAAGTCTTGCTAAGTTGCTACTATGCCCAATTTAGAAGATACACTTTTATTGAAGAGGAATGTCTATTGAAATTCATTGTATTTGTGGTTTTCTCCAAATCGAATATGTCCCTTAAAAAACTGCTCCAATTCATATATAACATTACAATCTCATAGAGACCTACATTTCTTGGTAACTCAGCTTTTTTTCTCCATGCATTTTCTGGATTCCTGCTTAGTTTTCTGTTAAGTACATAGTTATTTAACCCCACGTAAAAAGCACAGGAAGCTATGAGCTTCCTCAGTTTCCTGACTGTCTTGTAACCTCTGCTTTCATTTGTGATTTGCTTTTCTCCTGGAAGATACATGGCAGATGCTACCTCATGACAGCTGGAGTGGCAGGGATGGGGATGATGCAGGGTGTCTGAGTTTCACACCGAGCTTTCTGTGACTATGGGAGTTAGTGCATTTATGATTTACCCACCTTTAGGGAGGCTTCCTATGGAAAGAAAAGCAATGTTTCTGTTCATTTAAAAAAAATCCTCATACACACAGCTGAAGGTAAAACAAATGCCATTAATCTTTTACTTCTAAGGCTCTGTGGTTCCTTTAGTGGTAGAGGGGCAGTTTTGCTGAACACATAGGTGACAGCTGTGTCAGTGCTCACTACAACAGACACATGGTACAGGGCTAAACAGCCAAGAGAAGCTTGCGGGACCCCCTCCCTCAGGGAGAGGACAACTCATGGGCCTGGGGACAACTCTAGGAAACAACCGTGTCCATCTTTCTTCATCTCTGGACACTGGACATCACATTCTCTCCTAGTCCCAAAGCCTCAGGAAACCTTTCAACATGACAGGGACCTGGCGTGACATTCTTTACCAATTTGAGATGAAAATGAGTAGCCATCTAGCAATGTGACCAAAGTCTTCGCTGAGAACTGATGTGAACTTGTGGTGCACAACGACATTTTGCCGGTTGTGCATTTTGTTGGTTTGAATGCAATGAAAACATGAGTTCAACTTGTATCTGGGTGCACCAGGGAGGTGGCAGTTTTGGAGTCTGCACATCTTCTGCCATGTTTTGTTATGGGGGACACATAACAGGTGTACCCTAAGAGTGCAGCAGGGACTGCTCAGTGTGTATAATGTTAGGAGGCTGGGAGACTACACATAGACACTTAACCTTTCCCTTCTTATTTATAGGGTCAGAGAGATCCATGTTGAGGGGACCCTTAAATAAGGTTCCAGAATAAAATCGCGATGCCTCAGTACACCTTGATAGACTGTTTTAAATGCTCAATTGGAATCCCTCGGAGAAGGTGCCACTTAGGATATGTATTTGGCTCCTTCCACACCCACGGCACCTTCTCGGCCGCTAAAGGAGAAACTAAGGCAGGCCTTACCAGTGTGGCTCCTCTTGTGAACCATGAGCACATTGGGCCCGATGCAGATAATCCCACAGATATCACACTTGAGTTTCCCGTTAGGAAGTCGAATGCCTCCAAGTCCCGACAAAGCCGCGCTGCCTTGGTCCCTGTGAGAGCCATTCATTTTCTCTCCCGAGGCATCAAGCATTCGTAAATCCTCCGCACATTCTTCCCCATTCACTTCACAGCCACGCCCATTCTCTTCATCACTCTGAGTCTCTACTTTAACATTACTGGCTGAAAGAAACAACACAGGAGGCCACTCAGTGTCATTGCAAAAAAAGAAAACATAAAAACACAACACAGTAAGAGCAGCAAAAAGATGATCACATGGACCATGCTAAGAACAGTGCACAGAATTCTTAGCGGGACTTGGGGGAGGGTGGCCCCAGGTTCCATGTCTCTGGCTGTGGGAGGCTGCCAGGGAACAGGGACACCCATGGAACAGGGACATTGGGAGCACCTGCAGCCCCCTCCAGAGTCCGCCTCAGGAGTAGCATCTGGAGCTGCATGACCAAGCTATTCATGAAGTTCCCACTTCAGAGTCAGCATGGCCCTTCAAACAAGAGAAAGTCACCAGGTCTGCAGCCCAGTGGAGTCAGTGTCAGAGTCACAGGCCAAATCCTCTCTCCTCTACCTGCGCCCCTGACACTCAGGAGAGTGTCCAGTCACACAGTCCCCCTCCCCAGCCATGTAAACTCCCTGAGCAAGACCACCATGAAGTTAGCAAGTCTGCAAGCTCTTAGACATACCATTCCCTTGCCTATTTTCACAGACATATTAGCAAATCTGGAACAAAATTTGGCAAACTCATGCTCTCCTTGGAGTTCTGACCACAAATCCCTGTGAGGTTCTTGAAAGCTCTTCCTGTTTCTTTGATCCTGGTCATGAGGCTCCCTCTTCTATTTCTCCTGCTTGCTAAAGGACTTGCTGGCGTTGTTTATGAATGTGAGAGACGGGCAAGAGCTTTTCAAAGAGAAAGATGCATGTGGGGCGGCGAGCTGCTCAGGTTAATGAAGATGAGAACCACTGTTGCCTTCGCTTCATTGTTTAAGTCACACGCAGGGTAATTACCTCACCCGCATATTTTTCTTTTCAGAGAAAATATGAGGCACTCCTTTGTGCTCATCTGAGATGGTGACATGAACCCAGCTCTCTGAGAACCATAAACTGCAGCTGCAATGAAAGCCCTCATTCCAACCACTGTTTTCACAGAGTTTTATGAGTAGGAGGGACATTTCACCCAGTATAACAATCAATGAGGTAGGTGACAATTACGACTGCATAATTGTCTCTCTCTCCCTCCCTCTCATTCCCTTTCTGTCTTGTACACAAGGTCTCACTATGTAGTTCAGGCTGGACTTGAACTTACTATGTAATCCAGGTTGGCCTCCAGCTGTAACAATCCTCCTGCCTCAGCTTCCTGAGTTCTGGGATTATAGGTGTCTGCCAAGACTACGTAATTTTTGATCCACAGTTCTAAAGTCTGTTCCTCAGAGAAACAGCCTCAGCATCACCTGAGAACAGGTCACATGCAGATTCCTGGGTCCCCTCATGGCCCCATCCTCAGCCACTGGGGTGGGCCCAGAGCTTTGTGTTTTGATGGTTCCTCCTCCCCTATCCCCCAGGTACACTTAAGACTGAGAACAGCTGTTCCGCATCACTTGCCCAGTCTGTCACCCTCCAAGTTGGTTTTACCCACTGAATTCCCCAGTTTGGAGATTGAGAGACCAGGCCTTGGCCCCAAGTCCCTGGTCTGCAATCTCAGCTCCACTGTGTGGAAGCTCTGAGATCTTGGGCGAGTCACCATGCCTGGATTTCCTCACCTGTCAACAGGGGGATGGCTGTTGTCAACCAGGACAGCTGTGAGGACTGGGATTTGATGGATTCTGTGTCTGCTTGGGAAAGGGCCACGGTGAGGGGAAGATGCCACCGCGTGGAGTGAGGCTGTGCCTACCCCAGGAAAGTTAATGGTGCTCACTGTGCACCAGGCGCACAGCACTGTAACTGAGCTCTGCTGTGCCAGCTCCCACACAAGAGCACTACAAGGGAAGTACCATTCATTCCCTATCTGAGCGCTGAAGAAGCAGAGGTACAGAGAGATTGAACAAGTTGCCATAGGTTCACAGCTAGCAAGTGTCAGGCAGATGTGACCCAGGCCACCTAGCTCCAGTGCCGATAACTGTACTGCTAGTATGGTTTATATTTAGATGTCCTCAGGAGCCTTGAACACTCTGGGTGGGGTTTTTGGGAGGTGATTGGATGATGGGGATGAGATTCTTGTCAGTAGATTACTGCAGAGGAGCTGACAGCTGACGGGGGTGTGGGGAGGTGGAGCCTGGTTGGAGGAGGTTGGTCCCTGGGGGCGTGGCCTGTATCTGTCTCCCTCCTCCTCCCTTGATCACTCAGTTTTCATCTACCATGCCATGGACTGTTTCTCCTCTGTGATGCTGCCCTGCCTTGGAGGCAGAAAGCTATGGACTGAACCCTCACAAACTGTGAGCTAAAATAAACCTCTCCTCCCTTACACTGTGCATGTTGGGAATTTTGTCCCAGTGATAAGAAGAGTAACCAAGATAACTACCAACCTTTTCCCACTAGCTTTTTGGAGAAAAGACTTACAAGGAATGGAAAGGACTGACTAGAAGATGGAACACAGTCCTCATAGGAGACACCAAGATCTGAGGATCAGCAGCCCAGAGTGCTTTACATTTTAGCAGCTTCCTGCTAGCACCTCCCAGTCACCATGGACAAACAAACCACATCCTACTGACAAGGTCAATAAAGGACACAGGCAGGTGGGGGAGGCCAGGCTGCCACTTGGCCCACAGTGTTCTGTGACTACTGAACCCTGTAAAATCAGGACTCTCATTAATATCCTGTGTACCTTGTTGAGTGGAAGTGACTGCCCACTAGGGTCATGTTGGCCTTACTGTGGTTGGATGAATGTTTCCATGTAGCAAAAGCTCAGTCACTAGAGAGCCCTAGGAGGGGTGGGGCCACAGGGAGGTCTTTGGGTCACTGGATGCTCTTGGAAGGGAAAGTGGCCCTGGTGAAACAGTCTCTCTGCTTCCTGGCTTGTGATGACAGAGATCCATGTGGACATGCATTCCCCATCATTGCCACCTGGTGCCCTCCCTGGGGAACAGAACAATGGGCCCTGATCTTAGTCTTGTGCCCCCAACACCATGAGCTAAATAAACTTCAGTTCTTTATAAATCACCAAGTCTCCAGATCTTACAGCAGTAAATAAGGGGCTGAATCAGACGTGTCCCAGAAACACAGTAAAGTTACAAAAATCTCTGTTCTCCCCAACCTAGGAGTGATTTTAATTGTCTACCTTGTGGCTTTTGAGAGTGAGACAGGGCTATTGTAGTGCGCAGTGGAATGGTCTGGAATGGGTGCTTTTCTACCATGAGGGCTAAGAGGCAGGACTGCCACGGCTGGGAGGAGGACACTGCAGGACAGAGCTGGCGCTGTGTCCTAGCATTACATCACCTGCCTGGATCATCCACTCTCTGAGAGGCAGTGAGCTGGACAGGGTTACCTGGCCTTCCTGAGGACGCATGTGTGCACACAGGACAGCCTTGTCTCTTCTGTGAGAGGAGGCGGCAGCAGCTGTGCGACTCCTTGGCATGTCTGTGGCATGTGTCTCTTCTGCCTGTGCAGGCTCTTCCTGAAGAAGAGCGGGGCCACAGAGAGTGGGCAGGGACCTATCTTTGGCCACAGAGAGAAGTTCCACCATCACATGCAGCTTGCATAAGCGAGGAAGGCACCGTGTCAGGAAGGAAGCAAGGTTGCATGGGGAAAGTGTGCAGTGGGTGTTGCTGTCAACACACCGGTGTCCTCGGGCCAGGGGGTGTGGGACTGACTGCTAATTTGACCGGGGTAATTGAAGTCAGGACTTTGTTATCCTATGTGATGGGCTGCTGAGCATGGCGAGAGAGCCAGAGAAAATGTGGATACCCAGATACAGCGTAGGGTAGACAAGCCCACGGGGAGAGGCGGAAGAAGAAATGTATGCTTAAGAAGTTCCACTGGACTCAGCTGCACCTCTCCTTGGTATCTTCTCGAAAGAGGTAAAGGCATCATATTGCAGCGATCCATGCACACCCACATTTATACCACCTCCATTCATAATAGCTAAATCTTGGAAGCTTCTTAGATGTCCATCAACAGGTGAACCAATAAAGTGTGTTGTTTACACACACTGGAGTACTACTGTCCCATAAAGAAGGACACACTTGAGTAATTTGTAGGAAAATGGATAAAGTATGAGGCCACCAGTGAACTAAATGACCCACAAGCTTAAATATCACATGGTTTCCCTAATATGAGAGACCCCAAATATAAATAATCTAAAGAGCAAAATAAAAGATGATTGGAAACAGAGGTAGATTCTGTGGAGATGGGGTAGATCTGGAGAAGGAAGAAGATGGAAGGGTGAGACGGGGAGCAGATATGACTGCGACGTGACCGTGTATAACCAGTTTCCCAAGAGCTGCACGGACGGGAAAAGTTTGTTGCACAGATCTGTGGGGCAGCAGTGGGAATTTTCACCACAGAAGGAGGTAAAGTTCAAGGAAGAGAGTGAAAGATGCTGCATCCTAGGTTTCTAGGAGAAAAAGGACACAGTGTCCTTAGATGGCTGTGCCCAAGGCCAAGGGACTGTAAGACATGAGGACATGACAGAAAGTGCTGCATCCACAGACACTGTATGTTTTTACATGGACTTCCAGGTCAGCTACCGAGGGTGAAGAGCTGGACATTTGCTAGCACGATGGGGAGAGATTCTGGGCCATACTGTAGCGTGGAAGGTCTGTGGTGTCTAAGAGGGAACAGTTGGTGAGAAGCAAGCAGTAACAACCATACCATCAGCAGGGGGCGCACCAGCCTCAGCACTGCGGGCTCCCCGAGTAGGGGCAAGGGTCCTCCTATCCTGGCAGACAACTGCAACTGGGTGCTGACTACAGAGATGCGATCCAGAGGTTTCTGTTCATCCAGAGACTGCCTATCAAGTTGGTGTCTCCTCTCCATCTAGAAGTGCTTAGTCGTGATGTTTCAAACACTTTCTTGAATACAGAGAGGAGACTTATAAATATTTCCTAAGCCCCTCTTACCTGAGTACTTAGAGCATCAGGGAGCACAGGCAGGTGCCGGCCTGAAGTGATGAAATATAGAACATGTACCGGGGACCTGTGCATTCATTTCCTTCTCCTGGCTGGGCTCCCGCCTGCTCCAAGCTCCCTCGCTAAGAGATACTGGGCAGGGGCCCAATCTTATTATTCAGCCACACAGTCTGTACCAAGACTGGATGTTTTTAAGGCCCTAGTCAAAAACTGCATTCCTTCCCAGATGCTATTTAAAATCTAGAACCATCACAATCTTATTGTCATGTGTGTTAGAGCTTCTCTATGTGATCAGTAACCCAGGAGTTTTAAGGGACCCCCGCCTGAATGAGGCATGGACTGGAACATTCAGACAAGTTTAGTGTGGCAGAATCTGGAGAATCTAAGAACTTCAGAGGCCAGCAGGAGCCAAGAGGCTTGGATTCACTGCCAAGCGTCATCCACACTTTGAATAATTAAACGTTTCTAATGCATAGGTATGTGCACACTGGCAGGCACCACTTCCGGATGGCTTATGTTTCCTCTTCATTTCCTTTTTAGAATCTGGCTTCATATTTACTGGAAAAGCAATTTTTTGGTACCTGGGTCACATTTTTTCCATTGAAAACAAATTCTGAAATCGTCACTCTAGTATGAATTTGGGCCATGTAAGCTCAAAATGTTCAATATTTTAAATAAAAAATGGGAGACAAATAAAAACCAAATGGAATAAAAATATGTAAGGTATATCTTGAAATTTACTATGGAAATTCAGTGAAAATAAGAGATAAAGAAGATATATCCCCTAAAAAGATTTATGAAATGTTTAAGCATTTTGAAGGTCAATAGAACCACTTATTATAACAGTATATTAAAAGGGTAGAGTTTCTAGTCTATCAAGATACATTATTACAAATATTCTTACTTGATATTTTTGGTCTTTAAATGAAATAAGTCAAAAGAGAGAGGAGGCCAGCTAAAGATAGCCAAGAAGATAAATATATAAAAGATGGAGTTGTAATGATAGATACTTTTCCTTAGGTATCTGAGGACATAAACCATAATAAATATGGTAGAGGAGGTTAGAGAGGTTACATTAATTTCAAGAAGGAAGGGATGTCCCGGGGCCTGAAGGACGTTTCTTCATCATGATCACCAGGGGGCAGTGTTGGCCCAGGACAGTTTGGTTGCTGTTGGGTGGGGACCTCAAGATCAACCAGCCACTTGTGGGAAAATATTTATAATTTGAGGATACTGGGGAAAGAGGGAGAGAAAGAGATACTTTATGAACACGTGTATAAATATACAGACAAAAAGTATCTCAAAATCTAAATCTTGTCTCATCTAAAAGTTCTCAGTATTATCTTCAATGCAGCGATTTTTATATCTGAAGTTTTCACCAAAAGGTCTACTCGAAGAGCACAGTACAATATGGTTGGTTTAAATCATCCTCAGATTTAATGGATATATGTTCTTAAGTGGACTGTCTTGCTCTTAAGAGTATCTGACTTTAGAAAACATTCTGACAAGTTGATCATTCACCTCAAAGTTAATGGTTCCTGTGCCCTAGCACTTTCATGTTTTATATGTTCACATATGTACACACAATTTTACATACACAAATATGTATATATACATGTGTACATGCATCATAGAAACATATCAAGCTGTTGCTTTAAAGTTGAATCAAAGGAGTATTAGTAGGAGATATTAATAGGAGAAAATTTCCCCAAAATTTCATATCCTAGAAAAGTAGTCAGTCTAGATTGTGAGCAGAAGTACACTTAGATCAATAATGGTAAATCGTTTAGACACCATATAGCTTTCTGATAACCAGGCAGTCAGAAACCTATCTTTATCTGTTACAGACACACCTCTGCATTTGAGCCTACATTTCTGTCATCATCTTTCTTAGGAAGTCGGGCTGGGATGTAGCTCTGTTGTACGGCACTAGCCTAGCATGTGTGAGGGCCTAGGTATGGTCCCCAGCACCACGAAGTAAACCTACTCAAAACCAAGATTAACATGCACAACCTGTTTTCTGGCACTGCTTTATAATATTAGAGATTTTACTAATTCAGGCACTAAAACTGAGGCCTTAAGGGATTTTGCAATTTGTAGGGCTTTAATACTCAGGTTTCTGTCCACTTTTAAAAAGAGCATCCTCAAATCTTTAAAATACTCCTTTAAGAGTGTTGCCTAAATCTATCATTTATCAGCTCTCAATATCTAGAATAATGAAATGAACAACTGTGTTTGGTTTAACAGCTCCAACCTGACGAGGTCCCTAAATTTTCCTCCTCCACCCTCCTCCCTCGTGGCGTGGTGACAGGCAAGGGCCCAGCCAAGAAAGCCCTGCTGACCACCAGCTGCCCGGAATCCTGCGCATGATGTCTCTGTCCTTGGTCCTGAGATTAACACTGGAGCAAGAGCAGGATTGTGTGTCTATTTCTCCTGTCCCACAGAATTGTAAAACTTATCTTCAAAACCTGGTGGGTTCTTTCAGTGGTGGCAGGAAGTGCAGCCATTTTATCAGCACAGTCAGTGAACAGGAGGAGAAGAAAGAACACCAGTGATGGCTATGCTGCAGTGTGGTAGAGTCACAGCTCCCCTCGTGCTCTCCTGCTGCATCTGCCCACCGTCACCCCGCCACATGCCCCCAGCCATGCACCCACCCAGCCACCTAAGTCTTACTTTCGTACTGGACTGTACTGACGAAGTTTCTGAGGGTAGGTGTTTCAGGAACAGAATGGTCAACATGTAATTTATCTCATTTTCCCCAAGTGTACAGGGAAGTGCTGATGAGAGAACATGCAATCACATATTCACACGATGGGAATGGAGTATGAACATATACTTACGAGAGAAAGCTTTGGGAATTAGTGCATGAAAATCCCTAAAGCCATCAGCCCCATATGTAACTGCAATAAAGAAGGCAGAAAAGAAAGCTGGGTTGTAATACCATTAAAGATACAGCATTAAGAAAACATTACTGCTCAGAACCACTGGTTCACTACTAATCTGCTCTTCTTGGCCTTTGTATGGGCCTCCGAAAAGTAATCACTCTAAACAAGACTTCAGCCCCCAAGAGTGTGGACTCAGCATTGGCAGAACGGTCAGGACCACGCCCTGCCGAGTGTCCCATCTTAGAGGCAACGACCTCAAGTATTCTAGAGCTAGAGGAATGCTTCCAGCAATGCCAGCCCCAGATCTCAGCCTGCTTAGGGCACCTCATGAGAGGGTACAGACTTGCATGGAAGCAGTGTGTATGCTTCATGGGTGGATGGCTTCACAGATGTTCTTACAAAGGAGAGCGTGTTCATGAGAGGTTTTAAAAATTTTTTGTGTGACACATTGGGTGAGGAAAAACGGTTTCCTCCTACCCCCCACATGGCCACCAGTGTATGGGCATTCCTTGGTAGCTGCTTGCTTAAGGTACGTCACCATCCCAAACCTTCTTAATGTTCCACAGGACAGAGTTGTCAGTGTGTTCCTATTTCTGAAGGCTTGGCAGATTCTGCATGTACACACGTGTACACCCACATATACATGCTTTTCCCTCTAAGAGTCACATCCCAATGGCATTAGCCAGGTGCACAAAATAGCTGCTAAATTAAACTTACTGGACAAACGACCTAATTTGCAGAGAAAAGACTCTGAAGTGATAAAATATTTGTTTATCAAACTTTGCTGAAACCAGTATCCTCCAAACTTAGCTGACCACAGGTTCCCCCATGAGAACTTAGGAAAATACTGGGATAATGGGCAAACGTAGTTGAGAAGTATCTGCTTTTGAACCTGCTTCTTGGGGCTACTGGCTTATTTCCTAAAATTCCCTTACACTTCATCTATTGATTATTTCCTCTGATGATCCGAATTTCGTGGGTAATGTCAGCGCCATTCATCGTGCCAGACAGTGAGCATGAATTGGTTTGGTCCCAAACCAGCCAATAATGCAATGCCAAATGTATAAGCTTTGCTGTTCTTGCTATCTTTATTGAGCTCTAAACTTATATACATACACACTTTGCCACCTCTGTTATTCTGTGTCAGGAAGGATCCAGCATCTGAGTGGGAGAAAATGCAAATGTGTTTTATTAAGGAGTATTAAAACCTTGTTAAGATGAGGCATTACACTAGGTGAACAGCAGAAAACTCTGATTCAATGACACGCGTGAGCTGCTGAGAGTACGGATGTGAAAGCTGGGGTGGTGATTGGAAAGCTACCTCCTAACTCATGCCTTCAGCTCTGTAAGCACAGCCTAGCACCTGCTGTGTGCACACACAGGAGCAGAACACTGAGAAAGCTTACTGGTAAACCAAGGAATAAAGGAAGAGATTAGAATGGCATACAACTTGTCTCACCATTAGAAAATGTAAAAAAAACCAAAACTTGTCCTGTCTGGGATCACCTGTAAGCCCACAAACACCAGAATTGCCAGAATGCTTTCCACTGTGTCCATTAGTGTTTGATGTAAAGAATATGACAATGTGACAATGCATCGCTGCACATTAAATGCTAATCATGTGGTAAGAGGCCCAGTTCTTTGCCCAGTGTCATTCAAATTAGCCTGCTAAGCTTTGTCCTAAACATTTGGTTCCCTAAAAATTAAAGAATTAAAAGAGAATATAGCTGCAGCTATCAAGTCCCCTATGCAGTGCCAACAACTCTTGTTCAGGGACCATCCACACCCACAGGATCTCTGAGTTCAGCAACAGAAGTGCGTGCAACCCTCTCACCTATGGAGAAGCCAGAGCCTCAGCAACCATTCACAGGAGCGTCACAGATACCAGGAGCGTCACACATACCAGGAGCATGCAAAACCCTTTCCTTCCTTAGACTTGGAAGCTTAGCGCTGGCCTAAGGGCTGACACTGCACTGGCTGGGCTCCAGAGAAATTTTGGAATTTGCCATGTTGATGGTCAGCATTTACATATGCAAATTAAGACCCTATATTGTTAATATATGCCAGTTGATATCCAAGCCCACACTTCCAGGTGGCCATCCTGGGGTAGTGGAGGCGTGGTGTAAGGGGTGCCTGTGATGGTGAGGTAGTCACTGCAGACATGCACACACATGCAAGTGCACACATAGAAGTGCTCGCACGCGCACACACACACACACATACACACTCTCATTCCGCTGGACACATGCTTATTTTATAGCTAAGCCTCTGCCATAATGTGAGTGTGTCTTGGCCAGAGCACCACCTCAGCCCTGGACAAAGATGCCTGTCCTCAAATCTCACTCCCCCAGCCCTGCTCCTGCTTCCCAGCCCCAGGATGAGAGACGCTGTGACGTCCGCCATGCTCCCTGTTCCAGCACCTCTCCAAGACAGGACCTCGGCGACCACAGCCCTGCTGTGTCCATCGCAGCCTCTGCAGGACCACCCTCAGGGCTGGATGGCAGTGTGGTCCCCAGCCTCGGCCCAGGCTCAGAGGGGCTCCCTGCTTCTCATCCGCTCTCCGGCAGGATGCCTAGGAAGCATGGGTGTGCGTTACAGGATGCTGGATGCACTAGCTTCTTCTTTCAGATGATAGAAGCAATAGTGGGTATTTTCAGAAAGCTGCTCCATGAAGTGAGAACTTGCAGGGGGCATGGTGGAAAGCACCGATGCCTCACAGCCATTTCTGCAGTGGTCCAGTTAGCACGGCGCTGCTCCGCGGTGAATGGTACTTCCACCTGTGGCCTGGCTCTCTAGTGGGGTGTGTCCTCTTGGTCCCCTGGCCTGTCACACACATGCTGGGGTCCCCTGCTCCTGGACGTCCATAGGTCAGCGGGTGACGGGTGGCCACTGAGTTGCGAGGGGAAGAGGTGGCCAGGCAGAGGGCTGTTCGCATGAGGCCCTGCTCAGCCTGAGTGCTGAGCGCCCACGACCCCCAGCCCCAGCCTCCCATTTCCCCAGTGGGGATGCCGAGGCCTGCTGCAGGGGCTGCATGGAGACTCAGGAGGGGGCTCCCAGGGCTCCTCAGGGGCTCTACAGCAGGGAACACCACTGTCGCTGTCTGCTTAGAAGCAAGACAAGGACAGGGGACATCTTATCTATGAGGCCGCAAAGACTCCAGGGCCTGAGGCATGGGCTCCGCCCAGCTAACCTTTGACAAGTGCGGGCACATGCTCTGCAGCCCCCCAGGAGGTCAGGACCTCAGGGAGTGCCAGGGCTCCTTCCAGGCTGCAAGAAGACCTGTCCAGGGCCCCTCCCTGCTGTGCTCCTGCAGGGCCACGCTCTGCCATGGAGTCCAGAGGAGCACGTGGGCCACTGCCCACTTCACTTCCGCCTTACTAATGTGACACCGAGCTCCTTCGCCCAGGAGTGCTCCAGCCAAAGGACCAAGGAAGCTCACTTGCCTGGCGTGTGTGAGGCCCTGGGTGCGCGTGTGCGCGCACACACACACACACACACACACACACACACACACACACACACACACCGCTCCTGTTCATAAGCCCATGGTTTAGGGAAGGGAGAAGTGAACAGGGATTTCCCTCCAGAGAGTAAAAGTAAACAGAAGGAGCTGCAGGGGCAGCGGTCCTCTGTGTGGGATCAGCCTTGAATCATCCAGCTGAGCACACCGCAGGCTTCCTGGTGCTGAGATGCACACCCCGCCCCCTCACGCAGCTGACCACCCTGATGGAACAGAGCCTCCACTGGAGGTGCATTCAGCAGGCCCACACCACACTTGGGGAACCTCTGAATAGTACACCTTGCTTTGTGTTTCTTAAAAAAACAAAAATGATGTCGAGAATATAGAAGCACCTCAGTGATGTTTCCATGTCCTGTAATGTAAGGTTTATGTGAACAGGAGAAAAGGGAAGAATAATAATTACAGTGAGAGAAGCTGGGTGTGATGGTGCACAGCTGTAGTTCCAGCCTCATCTGGGAGGCTGAGGCAGGAGGATCACAAATTCCAGCCCAGCCTGGGCACCTTAGCAAGATCCTGCCTTAAGATTTAAAATAACAAGGGGTGGAGATGCAGATCCACAAGCCCCCGGGTCCAATCCTCAGAACCACAAAGACCAGCAAGAGAACTTAGTTCAAGCTTTAAAATCATAGAAGAAAAAGACACATTCAAGCAACAAACAGCAGGAAGACACAAAAGTGGCCAAGAGATAATGACAGAAGGGCTCTGTCCGCACCACGGGAGGGGCCGTAGTGTCGCATGCAGGTGTCAGGTGTGGCCCCCACGGGCAGCAGGCTGTACTGGGCTGCCAGTCTCGAAGCTGAAGATGGAAGCAACCATATTAACTCCACCGTCAGCTGCCTCCCTGGGACGGGGTCATGCTTGTGCCGCCAGCTCGTCAGTGAGGTGTTAGATAAAATGTGGCAGCCTGCCCCATGGAGCACTACTCAGCCGTAGAGAAGGGTACATTTGAGGATGTGCAGGAGCATGGATGCGCGCTGAGACCATGATGCTAAGAAAGAAAGGAGATGTAGAAGGTTAAGTGTTACATGGTTTTTCTTGAGAAACACAAATTATAAGTAATTTCAGGGATACACGTCAGCTGAGAGGAAGCAGGGAGGTAGGCCTTTCACAGATGGGAAGGGGACCTAGAGATGCGGCGGGGAGGAGAGGGAGAGGGAGTAAAAAGGACTAAGGTGTGGTGTGGGCACGCGCCAACACCCCATGGTGAGCGTGCTCCTCATGTACTGTGAATACGTACTAATAAAAAAGTAAGAGTAAGTCCACAAAAATAAAATCAAAAGCAGAGAGATGTGTATCACTCCTGGCTTAACATGCGGAGACGCAGCAGAGAGGCCCTGAGCCGGAACTCCATTCTGCCTGGTCCCGAAGCAGCCCCATACACAGGACCCGGCTCCCCTGGCGCTGCCACACCCACGGCCATTCCCTCCCATCCCCAACCTGGCCTGTGTCAGCCCCAGAGATTCCAGAAGCCCAGGAGCCACCTCAGGGAGGCCCG